TATTAGTATACATTAAACACCAACAACATTAAGCACAAATATTGTATTAGTGATGTAGCCTAAAACTAGCCTACACCATAATCCCATAACTTCTTCCATTTGCTGATGTAAACATTTGGTATAAGCACATAAGAAACTTGTTAAAATCAAGATAGAATGAATGTATGTCTTAGTTTAAGCTAGGGGAGGCATCTTCATGGACCAGTACCTAGAATGCTAGTATCTAAAACAACAGAACAACAAGTTAGGGAGCTGGGACAAACTGATGGGTTGGATTTTAGTGACATGTAAAGAGATATACCACTTGTATTATGTATAAATAATACCAGCTGAAATGTGTAACTTGGGGAGCACTCCTTCTGTGTAAGGTAAATGTAACATCACTGCATCACATGGCTTCCCACACACTAGTATCGTATACAACCTTACTCCTGTACCATATTATTATTGTCTTATAGCAGTAAAACATGTCCACATGGTTCATTATTAAATAAAGTGTGGTGGTCAAGCACTTTATCAACACCTACAAATTCACCATCAACCCCAGTAAAATCCTGCTATTGTGGCTAAAAATCACTTTTGGAAACCTGCTCTTCTAGGGACATCTACCCTGATTTTACCAAAATTACCTACAGATTTCCAGTGCCCCTTAGTTACACAACTAGCCTGCCTTGCAAAGATAAAACTAGACATATTCATGCAGCGCTATCTAGTTCCCCATCATCAAAAACGTGGTCGTTACATTGCTATCAAATTAGGCTGCATACATGTAAAAAGCAGACTGCATTTACAGAAATTAAGGCAAGGCAAGTACAATACAATATTTTATTAGAACAAGACTTGATTAGTGAAACATATTTGCATTGTATCAGACAATATTTGGTTGCTAGTTTTTATAAGGAATCCCTTGATTTACCCAGATAAAAGAAGACATTAGACCAAAGAGGATGTGGAACACATATTGGTAAGGACATATATTTTAATAATTTTTTTTTTTTTGGTCCTTAAAAATCCCTACTTTTTAAATAGTGTAGGGTTTTGCCCATAACATGCTGCAAGACAGTGCAATTAAGGAAACCATCTTAATTGTTTACTCTGCCTTGGGCTGCAGTTTGTTTTTTTCAGGTTGAAAGAAATACTCTTCGATAGCACTGACCAGCTCATCTAATTCCTTCTTCAATTGCTCAGGGTCACTAAGGAAAAAAAAAAAAAGGAAAACCAAGTAACAAAACCAAAAAATCAAAGAAGAGCAGCAAAAAAGGCTAGAAGGAAAAAAGGTCTATATTCTGAGGGTTTGTCAAGACAGTTAGTGCATGGCAAGCTGGGATGTAAATTACAGTACACTAGCAGTCCGTGTGGACCCTGCTACTGTGTGATAAAAGTTCCCCAGTGTGCACTGATTTATATCCCAGCTTGCCCAAGCACTAACTGTTAGTCTAGACTAGCCCTCAGTCTGATGGGTGATGTTTTAACCGCACATTTTCTATTAATGCTAGTAAAATTGCACGCTTGATTTCTTAGAACCACACGTGGGACTGTCAGTGTTTAGCTCTAATCTTTGTGTATCAAGGAACTGAATTTAAATGTTTGTCCATGTTTTTCAAAATATAATTTGATATATGACAACAGCTGATTTAAGCTTCAGATCTTTCCCATTTCATCCTAGTTCATATGTTTAGCAACATTTAGACCTTGTATCACATTTTCTTTCATTCACGATAAAGCATAAATACCATTAGCCTTATTTAACAAAAGTTAAAGTATTTTAAAAATATGCTATAAACATATATTCATATTTTTGAATCCATCCGTCGCCTCATCTTAGATTGTAAGCTCAAGGACTGTCTTTTTCAGATATTGTTATATAGAGTCTATCACAATGGGATTGGGGCCTTTAGGCAAATATTATCATAATATTCAACATTAAATATTTAAAGATAAATTTTGATGAGCAATTCATAGACATTGTTTTCTGTTTTCTATTTGCGTTAGTTGTTAAGTGTCCAAAAATCTTCAATTATCACTATAGCTTAGCAATCAAAAAGTTATGGATACAGAAAAAGGAAGAAATGCAAACTTCTCCACAATACTCCATCAATGTGCTTCAGCCAAAACATAGCACATTGATATGGCAGTCTCCATTTCTATTCAATTCTTGACTTCTGCTGAAAAACTTCCAAAAAGTGTTTTTTTGTTTTGTGGAGACCAACTGAGCCACCAATTCATTTCACACAGAGCATGGTTCAGACACTACCAATCTGGACTAGATCTGAATGACTAACCTAAAAAGTAAAATACTACATATGCTAATGGTCAAAACTATAAGGCACATTTCCCCTCCTCCCTTTTAAAAACAGGGAAGGAGGGTGCTTTGAGATTTGAAGTTGCTTGCTTTGATGATGGTAGGTTATACTAATTACTGCACTTAGAACATTACTTGTGATGTACTCTTAATTTATCTCAAGAAAGCCTAAAGCATACAGACATGTGCCAGTTTTTAGCATCTGTACATCTACATAAATGTGTCCTTGGTTGAAAGAGGAGAGGAAAGATAACGTAGAGCTTCTGATGAGGGATCCAGAAGTCCCACCACATAATTAAGAGTATGTTCTTTGAAAAAAAACACTCTCCAAATTTTATACATTTATGAAAGTGGGCCAAATTCATCCTGGTGTCAAACAAATGGGATAAATACCAAGATGTTATTTGACTTATGACAGTTGATTTCAAGGCTACTTGAGTCAAAGGAATAAGTATGATATTTCAGTAATTAGAAGTCTTGATAATATTAACTTTGAAACAAAAAAAGATTTGAGAAAGGAAGCAGCCCTTTCAAGTTACCTTGGAATATTTTAATACAGTTTTAAAATGGTATCAAGTTGAGGGCCCCTTCCTGCTCCTACGGAAGTCAAGACAATGTTCAATGGAACTTCAGTGACAGCAAGAATTGGCCATTAATGTGTCCCAAGCTTTAATTCTGCACAGTTCTATTGCTAAAAAGTGTAATTATTAAAATTATATTAAAATAGGCCTTTAAAAAAAAAAAAACCTGAATTTAATCCTAAAAGCAACACAATACCTGTTTCCAGGAGGCGCACAGAGTTCAGCATAGTATTTGATTTTTGGTTCTGTCCCACTGGTCCTCATAGTAGCTACCCCTCCATTAGCAAAAGTAAATGTTATCATCTGGCTACTTTTACTGGTAGGAAGGACCTAGAAATACACATAGACATACACACACATCATAGAATAGCTTCCTTAAAAGTTCACTACTTAAATATATACAATGAGTTTTAGATGCAAGGGGAAGAAAGAAAAAAAAAAAAAAAAAAACTTGTATTCAGTACCAAATACACCAACTGAACTATTTTATTTTGGCCTCCCAACTTCAACAGACATATTAGAGGTAGTCACAATCTAGCCCTCAACCTAGAATTTGAAAAATGAAGCCATGTCATGGCTTGTGAGTCACTATTAGATAACACATCTTGAAATCTTGTCAAGATTTTGGTAGCATATAGAAAAAGCTACATAAAGCATGTGCTCAGTGACTATCAAAAGAAAAAAAAATACAAATCACCCTTGATTCTAAAAGAAGGCTAAAGAAACCAAAGCTTCACATCTGAATAGATATTTTACATTTCTTATATCAATGCTGAGGGGAAAGATAATCCCTCCAAGCAGTAGGAAAAAACAGAAAAACTTGAAGCTGTAGTAAATAGCACAATCCTCCAAGCTTCCTCAGCTGACTCTGCCATTTTATGCAGCTTAGACAAGATCACAAAGTATGGCTACGAGAATCTGTAGTTTTTAGTTGGTATTTTCACTTTTCTCTCAGTGTTAAGTATATTGTTAATCATAAGACTATAAAATCTGATCTATTATTATTTTTATAAAAGGATACTTACCGCCTTTTGATCAGGCTGGCTGCTATCGTAGCCAGTAGTTAGATCCCTTACTCCAGAAACTTTAAATTTGCCACATGATTTTGGGTAAGTGTTCTTTCCATCATAATTTCTAAGTTTCTCAAATAGCTCTTTAATAGTCTTAGGATCATGGCAGATAAAATATGAAGCTTTAGTAATGTGGTAGCCATACCTGTTAAGAGAAAATATAATGATTGGAGAACACATTGTGTATACCTTCTCATTGTGATACAAAACACACCATGATACATTTGTGTTTATAATGCATCTAGGTCAAGGGTTCTCAACCTTTTTCTTTCTAAGGTCCCTCAACATGCTATAAAAATTCTACACCCCACCTGTGCCATAACAACTGCATATAAAAGCCAGGGCCAGTGTTAAGGGGTAGCAAGCAGGGCAGAAGATCTTACATACAAGATGACCAGTAACCGTTGGCCTATGCCTTGTTTAATGTAATCATATACCATGTATCTGCAAAACTTTCAGTAACACACAGGTCTTACAGGCACGAAATAACATTATATAAAAGACAGGGGCCAGTCCTGTGTGTAACATGAGCTCTAGTCTCCCATCAAGCACATCTCTTTGGCATTAATGGGAATTACACATACACCAGGTGCTGAATGGACCCACCTAAGTTTACAGTGTTGTGACTGTGTTGGTCCCAGGATATTAGAGAGACAAGGTGGGTGAGATAATATATTTTATTGGACTAGCTTCTGTTGGTTAAAGAAACAAGCTATGCCTTGTTTATGTATCTTGTGAAGCATGTAGAAGATCCCTGGGGTGGGTTCATGGGGGATGAGGCTGTACCATTTCCCAAGATACTCAAACCTTCAAAAGATGAGTCTGGGAGATTAAATTCACAACTTTGCTAAACACTAAAAATCATGGTCTTAAAAAGACTGGATTTATGACTTATTACAGCAAACTGTAAGTAACCCACTAACCCTTCCTTTTTTTTTTTTTTTCTACAGGGGTGTTAGTATGCCACTTCACTTTGTATGGCCCCTTAGAATGTGTGTTAATTTCTTATGCTAACCGATCTGTTCCACCTTGTATTTAACGGTGACACTGAGTACCACTCCCAGACCTGAAGAGGCTTTGTGTAGTTCTAAAGCCTGTGTCTTTCACCAACAGAAGCTGGTCCAATAAACTATATTATCTCACCCACCTTGTCTCTCTCTCTGGGACCAACACAGCTGCCACACTGTAAACTTAGGAGGTTCTATTTGGCACCTGGTGTATTTGTAATGCCCATTAATGCCAAAGAGATGTGCTTGATGGGAGAATAGATCTCATGTTTCATACAGAATTGGACCCTGTCTTATAGAATCTGTTTTTTCTTGCCTACAAGATCTATGTGGTACTGAAAGTGCTACTGAAACAGTTGTATAGCTTGTTACATGAATAAAGACTCAAACTGAACAGTCAGTTGAGGCAACTGTGTATATTCTTAAAAAGAGAGAGAGACAGGCATTGAATATGTTAAGTTTTGTTTTTATGAGACAGGGCAACTAGCAAGAAGATAATTACTGTTGCAAAAGTATTTTGCCTCTATATTGTATTACATATTATTCAGTAGCAAGTGAACATACATATTGGAGATGGAGAACACCCGATAACTAGACAATGAAATTGAACTCACTCATCATAGATAGCTTTCAGCTGCTGAGACAAAGACAAAATTTTGGTTGCTAGCCAACTAGACATCTCTGCAGTTATAACAGCAGCACTGACGCCATCTTTGTCCAGGACAACAGGGCTGCACATATATCCTAAACAAAAGAAAGCATATGAAAATAAACCTGTAACAAAAGGAACTAGCATATACAGAGAAAACCAGGTTGACAAAGAAATACTGACGCACTGCAGAAATTGAAAGTTTTAGTAAACAAAAGTATCTTCATCACATTCTGGTGTTAGGAAGAGCACCCATAAAAATGATTATATGATAAACTTCAATGTTTCTGTAAGCAACATTTCAGGTGATTTTTCTGCACAAAAAGATGAAATTACACACTTTAGTACTGTAGATCTATATCAGTGAAACATTTTCCAACCACTTGCAGATCCACTCATAAGAGGTACTTTTACGGGGGGGGGAAGGGTGGGTGTATCAAAGTTTCACAATGGTGAAGCTTAACCACAGAGTTTGGTCCCAAAATTTGATTCTTTCCATATGGCAGCATGTGGTAGTGCCAAAGGAACTCAAAAAATAACAATTTCAATGGTGTTGGAGTGCTAATATTTAAAAAAAAAAAAAAAAAAGCTTCCCAAATGTGCCATATTTGTGTGTCAATTATTCATAACAATTAGAGTTGTTTTTTTTGTTTTGTTTTTTAAATTGTCACCCATGGAAACTTGAATCTCAGATTTCAAGTTAACTTGGCTTCTTCATGGCTCATGCATACTCTGCAATTGGAATTGCGTTAACAATTCTGATGATAATGTACAAACCAGCTCACTACCATATCTGCATCACCTCTGAAGTGCTACAATAAGTAGTAAAAACTTAGTCAACCAGGTAGATATGATACTGAACACTCACGGGGAGTGAGTGTTGAAACGATGGCATTTTTACATAGCCACTTTCTGGAGCAGAAGTGATCTTTACTGTTCTACAGTGCACCAGAGCTATCTGTACTGTTCATTTCTTACCTATAGCTTCTTCAAATGCAAATAAAACAGTTTTCCCCTGGTCCGTGAGCTGCTTGGCTCGATTTCCCATCCACTTGAAACCTGTCAATGTCTCCTAAAGTGAGATTGCAAGGGGGGAGGAGGGAAATGTAAGATAAATTGCACAGAAAAACAAAAACATGAATAGAGACTTTTACACAACGGTTTACCTCAAAGTGAAAGCCTTCCTTCAGTGCAATTGCTCTCAAGATTTTGGAAGAGACAGTGCTGGATAACATGTACACATCTTTGATGGCAGTAGGGTCTTGATTCTGATTTTTCCAGCAAGTGAAGATCCACCAGCCTAAAAGAGCTCCCAGCTCATTGCCAGAAAACACTTTCCACTCACCACTGAAAACAAAACACAATGCAACCATTATAAAAACAATTTAAAAGACAATACTGGAGAACATTTAATAGTTGTTGTATACAAGAAAATTGGCAGAACAGATGAAGTAATCTAACCGCTGTGGAGGTGAATTTGATTTTCCAAGGACAAATAGGAGTTAGGCATCCAACTCCCACTGGAAAAAAATCAATGGGAACTGGGTGTCTATTTCCATTTGAAAATGTTCTTTACTTTTTTATCCAACTAAAATAAGACATTCTTCTCCTTGTCATTCCCATTGGCTTATGTGCCTGTCAAAAGCTGCAACAATTCACTATTCACATTTGATGATACTTGTTTTTAATTCTCTTTAGCTTTAACAGTTGCATTTTTAGTTTTAAATTAAGGTATTTTGGTTTTGGAGCATTTACATCATATCTTGATAAAAAAGACCTCGTATTCACAAGCTACAGCACCAACATGACTTAGGGTAAAACAACTCGGTACTAAATGACCACTATTTGAGTGGGTTCAGTGACAGTCTGGGCTACTAATTTTCACTTAATGACAAGTACATAAGTACACTAGGTCATTAAGGAAGAATGGAAAAGTCTCAAACATAGGGAGAAATATCAAAAGGGTCAAAGCTGACTCAATTATTGGAAGAGCAAGGAAAACGAAGAGAAAAGCAGAAGAGAAAAGGAGAGAGAGAAAATTGTTCAAAAACCCAGTTGTGAAGGGGAACAAAGACATCACTAAAGCTGACATAAATGAAGACCTACAAAAACAGTACCTGTTGTGAAAGAGAAGCAGCCTCAGTCTCTTGCATCTATTGATGCCAATAGGCACAAAGTAATGCCCAGCAACAGTTTAGTGTAATAGCAGATGACAAATTACTTGCGCTCTAACGGGAGTTTCTGTCAAGGAAGAAGTACAGATACTGTAGAAGTCTATTCTTAACAAACTAGTTAGTGTACAAACATCTTCAGCAGGAGGAAGAGGACAGGACTCAAAATGCAAGGACTATGGCTGGCCAAGAGATCAGGAAAGAGAAAGGCACAGAAAAGCAAGTACACACATTGTGTGCTTAATTCAGACCTAGCTCTCACTGCTATAAAAGTGTGCTAAACTACAAGCAGAGTTTCTAATATAGAATATTAAAATCAGATTTAAAAAAAAACCTAAAGATGCATTTGGCACTCTGCTCTAGGTAAATGTCCCCAGCAGAAGCATTTTCTTTTCCCTCAGTGCCAAGGAAGTCTTTTGTGTGTGTTTGACACATGCAACATTTTGCTGGCTGCTTGACCTTCTTCCTAATTAACACATTTGCTTTTTATATTTTATTGTTGTTGGTATGCTAGTGGACTTGGAAATTCTGTTCCTGACTGAAATGTACTTCTGATTTAAAACTTCAGTGCACGCATCATTATATAAGAACGACCATACTGGGTCAGACCAAAGGTCCATCTAGCCCAGTATCCTGTCTTCGGACAGTGGCCAATGCCAGGTGCCCCAGAGGGAATGAACAGTACAGGTAACCACCAAGTGATCCATCCCCTGTTGCCCATTCCCCGCTTCTGGCAAACAGAGGCTAAGGACACCATCCCTGCCCATCCTGGCTAATAGCCATTGATGGACCTATCCTCCATGAATTTATCTAGTTTTTTTTTGAACCCTGTTATAGTCTTGGCCTTCACAATATCCTCTGGCAAGAAGTTCCACAGGCTGACTGTGCATTGTGTGAAAAAATACTTCCTTTTGTTTATTTTAAACCTGCTGCCTATTAATTTCATTTGGTGGCCCCTCGTTCTTGTGTTATAAGGAGGTGTAAATAACACTTCCTTATTTACTTTCTCCACACCAGTCATGATTTTATAGACCTCTATCATATCCCCCTAAGTCGTCTGGTTTCCAAGCTGAAAAGTCCCAGTCTTATTAATCTCTCCTCATACGGCAGCCATTCCATACTCCTAATAATTTTTGTTGTCCTTTTCTGAACTTTTTCCAATTCCAATATATCTTTTTTGAGATGGGGTGACCACAACTGCACGCAGTATTCAAGATGTGGGCATACCATGAATTTATATAGAGGCAATATGATATAATCATTGTTCAAAAGGGGGGGGGGGGGGAGAAGGCAAACCTAGGTATGTCTGCTGGCAAAACATTAATATCCTGGAACTGACATGGCTACAACTACACAGCATAAAACATTTTAGAGCAAAGGATGACAGGCTTCATCTACACGTCCTTAACGGACCCAGGGGAGAGGGTGCTGACAAGTCCATTCCTCTTCCCAGATACAGAAGAGCCTCTCTAATCCACACAGCTGGAGCAAGGAAAAGCCCTTGAGTTGCTGTAGGAATGAAGAGGATCTGAGCTCTTCTGGTGCGCAGGAAGAATACTTGTGCTCTCCTCCTCTTCTTCCGTGGGAGCTTGAGAGCCTGAGTTCATTGGAGTGGTGTAAACTCAAACCTCTCTAATTTCAACAACCACAGGAGGAGACATGTTAAATAGCACTCTCTCAGCGCTTAGCCAGTGTCAAGGATGGGGCCTGGGTTTCAAATCACTCTGATAGCTCATACATAGTGAAATATCACCCATACTGCCCCTGCCCTTGGCAGCAGCAGCAGAACTTTGTTCTGTACTGCAAGGAAATGAAAACCTGAAGTCCACCTTCAGTACAGGTTTACAGTAGGGCTGTCGATTAATCGCAGTTAACTCACACAATTAACTCAAAAAAATTAATAGAGACAAAAATAATCACAGTTTTAATCATACTGTTAAACAACAGAATACCAATTGAAATTTATTAAATATTTTTGGATCTTTTTCTACATTTTCAAATATATCGATTTCAAGTACAACACAGAATACAAAATATAAAGTGCTCAGTTTATATTATTTTTGATTAAAAATATTTGCACTGTAAAAAACAAAAGAAATAGTATTTTTCAATTCACTTCATACATATACTGTAGTGCAATCTCTATCATGAAAGTGCAACTTATAAATGTAGATTTTTTTTGTCACATAACTGCACTCAAAAACAAAATGTAAAACTTTAGAGCCTACAAGTCCACTCAGTCCTACTTCTCGTTCAGCCAATCGCTAAGAAAAACCATGTTTGTTTTACATTTACGGGCGATAATGCAACCCACTTCTTAATTACGTCACGTGAAAGAGAGAACAGGCGTTCGCGTGGCACTGTTGTAGCCGGTGTCACAAGATATTTATGTGCCAGATGCGCTAAAGATTCATATGCTTCTTCATGCTTCAGCCACCGCTCCAGAAGACGTGCTTCCATGCTGATGATGCTCATTAAAAAAATGCGTTAATTAAATTTGTGACTGACCTCCTTGGGGGAGAATTGTATGTCTGCTGCTCTGTTTTACCCGCATTCTACCATATATTTCATGTTATAGCAGTCTCGGATGACCCAGCACATGTTGTTCGTTTTAAGAACACTTTCACAAAACACAAAGAAGATACCAATGTGAGATTTCTAAAGATAGCGACAGCACTCAACCCAATGTTTAAGAATCTGAAGTGCCTTCCAAAATCTGAGAGGGACGAGGTGTGGAGCATGCTTTCAGAAATCTTAAAAGAGCAACACTCCAATTCAGAAACTACAGAACCCAAACCACCAAAAAAGAAAATCAACCTTCTGCTGGTGGCATCTGATTCAGCTGGTGGCATCTGAAAATGTACATGCATCAGTCCGCACTGCTTTGGATCGTTATCGAGCAGAACCCGTCATCAGCATGGGCGCATGTCCTCTGGAATGGTGGTTGAAGATGAAGGGACATATGAATCTTTAGCGCATCTGGCACATAAATACCTTGCAACACTGACTACAACAGTGCCATACGAATGCCTGTTCTCACTTTCAGGTGACATTGTTAACAAGAAGCGGGCAGCATTATCTCTGCAAATGTAAACAAACTTGTTTGTCTGAGTGAATGGCTGAACAAGAAGTAGGACTGAATGAACTTGTAGACTCTAAAGGCTATTAGCCAGGATGGGTAAGGAATGGTGTCCCTAGCCTCTGTTTGTCAGAGAGTGGAGATGGATGGCAGGAGAGAGATCACTTGATCATTACCTGTTAGGTTCACTCCCTCTGGGGCACCTGGCATTGGCCACTGTTGGCAGACAAGATACTGGGCTGGATGGACCTTTGATCTGACCCAGTATGACCATTCTTATGTTCTTATGTTTTAAATGCATTTTTTTGTACATAATTCTACATATGTAAGTTCAACTGTCATGCTAGAGATTTCACTACAGTACTTGTATTAGGTGAAATGAAAAATACTAATTCTTTTGGTTTTTTTACAGTGCAAATATTTTATCAAAAATAAATGTAAAGTGAGCACTGTACACTTCGTATTCGGTGTTATTGAAATCAGTATACTTGAAAATGTTGAAAACATCAAAAAATATAAATAAATGGTATTCTATTATTGTTTTAACAGCGCGATTAATCGTGTTTAATTTTTTTAATCGCTTGACAGCCCTAGTTTACAGCTGTATAGATTAACTTCTGCTCTACCAGATTAGGTGAAATGAGAAACATTAAATTTCTGGGTGGTAGTATTCAGCAGTGCACTCCAACTGAATCTCTATCATCTGGTACAGCTTTTCAGAAGCTGTCTATATGATGCTGGTCACTCAAGGGGACTACTGGATGGTGAGCCAGAATTACAAGTCACATAGGCTACAGGCACATCTGACAAATGTGGCAGGTCCCCACTTTCTGTGGCCCCAGCAACAGAATCTAAACAGATACAAATGTCCAGCTATGCATGTTGTACAATGGAATTGAGAACTAGTAGCCAGATCATTGGAAGTTGCTGAGCACCTACAAATCTCACAGAAGTCAAAGGGAGATGCAGATACACAGCATCTTTGAAAAATCAGGCTCAAGGTGTCTGATAAATATCTTACCATATGTAGTCAATCACTACCCCTATTCTTGAACTGGGGAAAAGATAGAAGGGGGTTGACATCTGAATGAACTATGCTGTCCCCCTGATTCTGGAGGTCAATGAAAGAGTGACATGCAATTAAAGATGTTAGTTACTACTTACTAAATGAAATGAGTGAGAAAGCATGTTTTGCAGTGTACTACGGAAGGTTTCTATTTAAAAACCTTGATAAACTATAAAGTAGACTAAGCTATTTGGGGTAAAAGCTGTCTCTTCATATTTGTCTTCTTTTTGTACATTACCTAGCACAATGGACTCTAAATCATCATTGCAGCCTCTGGGTGCTATTGCAATATAGGTATGATCAATTCCCCCCGCCCCGCCACCCCACACTTTTAAAGATCTCAGGTTTTCCCAATAATATCTATGAATCTACGAAAGATAAGGCCAGAAGGAACCATTGTGATCATCTAGTCTGACCTCCTGCATAATACAGGCCACAGGACTTCCTAGAATTAATTCAGGCTTCAAGTCAAATAGCTGTGGTTGAACTACAGCATATTTTTATTACTGTACCTTTCTTGTTTCTCTGCAACAAGAAGTCGATCAGCATCTGGGTCATTTGCTAAAATAATTCCAGCCCCTTCTTTTTCAGCCAAAGCAAAAGATAACGTCTAGAAAACAATGGTAAAGTGCAACACCAGAGAAGGATCAATACTTCCAAATAATAGTTTCACTTTCTTATAGGTCTAACACTCCCATTTTATTTTCACTTGAACCCACAAAACCACAAAGCTATGTTTATAGCAGAAACACCCTCCTTAATTCATTCAAGGGTACCCTCAGTATTGTAGAGATCTCAATGGGTAGCAGCAGTACATCAAAATAAGATAGGGAGTGTGAAGAGTAAATTAATTACACCTATTTCTACATTTGGGGGCTGATTCAAAGCCCATTGAAGTCAATGAGACTGCACTGAAGTTAATGGACTACTCACACAAGTCAAGTTACTCCCATGAATGTTTGCAGATAAGGCCTTAGATAATGTTTTCACCCCTCAGCTCATTTGGTATCATCTTATTCTATAGTTTAACTGTTAACAGCTGTTGGATTCAGGTTGTTAAAAAATTTATTGTAATTGGACATCTTTTAAAGATGGAGGAACATTCTCAGTTTGTTTTTTTAAGGGCCATTTTAGTCTCCATGCTGATACTGTATATTCCACTGGAGAGCTAAAGAAAAAAAAAATCTTCTAGTAGTTTATCTTGTTATTAACCAGTTCATTAAAAGCTAAACAGGAACTATGAAAAGACCCTTGTTAGCTTTTCAAGAAATCGAACAGAATAGAAACTCAAAATGAAAAACTATCTTATAAAAATTTCATACCTAGGTTTACAGTGACAATTTCTGGCTGGTGGAAAGAACACTTTTTAATATAGATTGCAAATATTTAAAAAAAAAAAAAAGATATTTACCAGTACACCTTTACCCTCTTCAGGATTTGGGTACTTTACTGTTGGAAATTCTGGATCAGGTTCCTTCTGTTCAGGAACAGCCAATGGAGGTTTAAAGTCAAATGCCTTAAAGGCTGACTGCACAAATTCATGGCCTACACCATGCACAGAAGTGTGGATGAAGTTCAGCTTTGTTTCCTTGTTTATATTCCTGAAATGAAGTAAATTAATGATGATAAATTAATATGGCCACTGTGTGCCACTTAACAGGGTTCAGAAACAACCATGACTCAATACTCTGCAACAATGTTAAACTATGAAACCAAAGACAGTTAGTTTGTATTAAAAGGTACCTTTTTTTACCCCTATCTCTAGCCCTACATATGACTGTACCAAGACATCAGATAAGATAAGCTCTACAGAACCTTATAGAGCACCAGAGGAGGGGAATAACATGCATGATTGGCTGATAACATTCAGTACCCCAAGTTGAGTAATGGCATTTAAACGGACTTCTACATAGGAGCAGAAGCTAAACTGAACCACAGTGCTATCTATTGCTATGTTATTTAGCTTTCACTCACCGTATACTTGTTATAATTTTTAAATACTTTACTTAGAGGCACATACAACTAAGAACTAAAACCACTTATTCTTCTAAGTTTGTAATATTGCAGCATCATTTTTCATACATTCCTGGCTTTCTAGTATACTGAGTTTAGCAGTTGCTAGCCTAAGGGTGAAGTTAATGTAACTGACAGAAGTTAAAGTTTTGGTACCCAGCTCCTCCCCCTCCCCACCCCCCGTTTTAGTTTTAATCTTTCTTGTTTAAAATCAAGTTAAAAATATAGGTTTGTCACCAAGAGAATGACAATCATCACCAGCTCACCTGTGAAAGCAGTGCTTTTGTATGTCTTTAAAGTAGTCCTTATTGATAGTGACATAAGGATCATGAAGTAACAAGCTGCTGTCAACCAGACTGTCATCCCAAGCCTGAGGCCATGGCTCTTGGTTCTCTTCGATAGCTTGAGAGATTCCTTTGTCATGAGGTGAGGTTATCTGTGCACCATTTTCCCAATAAACCTAAATGGTACACAGGACACACGGGTTATTTTAAACATGAATACCTTTACTGATTTTAGTTGGCTAAATCCTGGAACAACTCATGGCTAATTCCAGTAAATAAATACAGTGTAACATACTTTGGATATAGATTTCCCTAAGCTTTGTTTTTCTGAGGATGTCGTACCCTATATTTAAATCCCCCATGGAAACCAAGTAGACCACCATCAGGCTCATCTCATTTAGAGATAAAACCAAATTTCAGACCATTTGCTAGGCAGGTAGTTAATACCTGTTACTTGTCCATAGTATATTGTATCAACCTACATAGTTTCCACTAATTTTATATATAACCACTATGCATGAGACAAGGGGGGGGGAGGGAAGGAGGGAAGATTTTTTTTTTTGGGGGGTACTAAAAAAGACAATTTTTAACTGCAAAGGCAGTCAAAAACTTTTAGTCCCCAACAACACCTGCTTCTCTTGGTCTTCGAACTACTTCCATGCATGCAACAAATCATTAATTTAAGTCATGTTACTATAAAATTCTTACAACTTTCAAAGGTCTGAACATATTTGAAAAAGCAGCAAGATTATTGAAAATTAAAAACATTATATATAAACATTTTAGAACAGCGAAGCAACACATTCTGGAGGAATGAACACAGGATGAATGACAAAGATCTGAGTTCTAATCTTGCCTCTGCCCCTAACTTGCAGTATAGCCCTGGGCCAGCCACTGTCTCATCTGTAAAATGGGGATGATACTACTTACCTCCCTCCTTCCTAGGGCTACTATGAAGATTAAGGACTGGATAGCTTTTTGAACATACAGAGTGCTATTATAAACACTATTATTAAATAGTCATGTCTGAACACAGTGGAAGATTTAAGTTATATAGGAATACCTTGTAACCATTATCTTGTTTTGGGTTATGGGAAGCAGTAATCATAATTCCAGCAGAAAGTTTCAGATGAGTTATTGTGTAGGGCTGTAAAACAATAGTATAAAGAGAGTTATCCTGGAGTCTCCATCCTGTCAAATTCTGGGAATCAAGCCATCGATGCAACCATACAATCATGATTTCAAGTCTAGAAAATATCAGTATTCTCTTTATTGATTGTGAGCCATGCCATCTAGTGGCCTGACTGGTTAACTGCAGGCATATTCAGTACCACACATGTCCAATAAAAGTGTAAGGTCAAACAAAGAATATTTGATTTTCCAAAGACTAAATCTGGACTGAATATACCAAACTAATGAAAACAAAGAAATAATGTATATGAAAAATATTAGCCCAGTTCATTTTACTGCTGTGAAATGTAAGTATAACTAATTCCCTTCACAGCATGTTTCAATTGAAGTTTATTTAAAATTAGAGCTATAGAGTATCAATATTTAGGTCAACCAGAATTCAGAGTACAGTAGATTCCTCCAATTTGGGACAGCACAGTGAACAACTGTCACCATCAAGAAGTGTTCCTAACTCAGAGAACATTTTAAAAATAATGCTAGTCTCCTGAGAGCAGTAGCCAGTCCACTGTGTTACTGGACTGGTCCACAAAGTTAGTAGGCATTTTGTGCACCGGGTTAGGGACCAGATCTTGTTAGTTGCATGGCAGCCCAGCATGGCCAAAAGGAGCAAACCAACAGTCAAGAACAGGCAATAGTGAAAAATTCACACAGTATTACGTTAAAGGAGGAAATGAAAGCTGTTACATGAGCAAACATGTAGAAAAAGTATGAGCACAAGACACACTAAAGACCTAAGCATGACCATTACAAGAGCATATCCTCATTAAAGAACAGTCATTGCCATCATATGGCTTAAAATAATTTCCTGAAAGACAACTCATTGAAGCATGGCCTCACTGAAGAGTATTGTATAGGAAAACCAATATTTTTTTCTTCTATCTTGAAATTAGAATAATATATTTGTAGAACATAGTAACCCAAGGATGATGGGAGATATAGGACTTTATTGTTCCAATCTATGAAATGTTTAATATTTTTGCTACCAGAGAGGTGTGCTTCTGTAGCGCCAGTTTAACACTAGATAGAAGTTACTGGAATATGATATTGCAAACACATTAAGCAGTACAGGAGGTCCTGAAATACCCAATACCATTGGCAGTTAACAACTAGTTAGTAGCTGATCTAGTTTAAATAATGTTATTTGCTGGAAATACTGTCCAGATTCTTGGCACTCAAGCTCACCTATCTATAAATATATATGCATCTTTTGGAAGACATCAGCCATTGCTCATAAGCAGAAGTGTAGCGGCTAATCTTCCAAAATTCAATAAGTAACATGTACCCCATCAGGCAGGTGTGAAGGGACATACATATCCTTCAGAAACTCTGGTGGCCCTCACATCCCCATCCTTCAGAAGAGCTGCTATCTGGGCAGCAGCTCCATTTAACAGTATGGTTAAACGAAATCAGAAACAGGCAGAGCACTGGCTGCTTCAGAAGAAGCTGAGAAGTTCAGGGTAAAATATCGACTGCATATCCTAATCAGTTCCTCTATGGCTTACTGTACCTGAAGCAGCTAGGATCTTAAATAAGCCTGAGAGTAGCAAACTAATGAGCTGATAAATCAGTTTGTTTTTTCTAAAAAAAGATTATAATAGTTTTTTGTACTTGACAGTACCCCATTATGTTGAATGAAAAAGAAATTATAGACAACCATACCACAAAAGGTGTTGGTGTTATATTGGAGAAGAGGTACACTGGAATTCCCTGACTGATGAAAGTTGTTGCAGCAAGCCTTGCAAACCTAAATGACAATAAAACTTTATTTGGAAATACATTCATGAGATTCTCTCACTAGACAGTTAAATAAAACTCACAAGGAGCATATAGATTTGATTCTGGTGTAATTCATTTGTCCCTTATTTTGGTTACAAACATGGTCCAAATTTGCAGTACAGACTGGATTTTACCTGTATTTCATACCAAAATGCCAAAGAAGAGCAAAGCTATATTTCTTATCTTCAGATGTACAGTGTACACATTTTTACATTCAAACTGCACACACATCTAACTGCTCCAAAGAAAATGCTATTGAAGCAGTGACCAAACTAGAATACACTCCATATAACATGCAAAGAAAATCATTTCTACAGATTACTAAGAGTACCTCTTGCTGCTACTTCCACTTGAAGGATGGGCGCGAGCATCAAAACCAATAACTACCCCTCTTTTCTTTAGGTCACTGAAGTTCTTTTCAAGGTACCTGCAAAATCCCTAAAGACAAAAAACTCAGAACTCAATCTTAGTATTTTTAAATGTGGCTGCAATAAATTTTAAAATCTTTAAAAAAAAAAAAAAAAAAAAAAAAAAAAAAAAAAAAAAAAACCAAAAAAGAAAAAAAAAAAAAAAAAAAAAAAAAAAAAAAAAAAAAAAAAAAAAAAAGCAAGTAAAGTACTCTAAATTGGTTTAGGGTACAATTTTCCGGGAGCAAGAAATATTGATTGAAAATCAAGAAAATGGAGAGTCTTCAAACAAAAAACTACCACTGATGGGTTTTATAATGTGAATAATTCCAAATGAAAAATTTAATCCAGGTAGACTAGATAAAAATGATAATTTTGGATTACAGAACTTCAAAAATGATTAATACAGATGCTCTTTTCCCATGCTTCTGGCCTGAAAAAGTAATCACTACTAGTCAATACATTCTATTTTTAATCTCAAAAAACACCAAAATGAAGCCTGTTTAGGACAAAGTAAATCAGTGACACGGGATAGACCCCTACTTTTATTCAGCATCTCCATGTACAGCAAATCTACTCTAGAATGTATGTGGTATTAGAACTTTTATGCAAATTGAGGCTTACTCAGATTTACTAAATTGGCTTAATTTGTGATTTCCTAGATTTTTAATGCTTGAGACAGCAGGAAAAGCAATGGAGCTCCTTTAACTAAGCTAACAATTTTGTACATAAATTAGGGTTGTCAAGTGATTAAAAAAAAAAAAAATCAAAATTAACCGTGCTGTTAATAAAATAACTTATTTAAATATTTTTGGATGTTTTCTACAGTTTCAAATATATTGATTTCAATTACAACACAGAATACAAAGTGTATAGTGCTCACTTTATATTTATTTTTGATTACAAATATTTGCACTGTAAAAAAGAAACAAAAGAAATAGTATTCCAACTCACCTAATACAAATGCTGTAGTGCAATCTCTATCATGAAAGTTGAACTTACATTTGTAGAATTATGTACAAAAAAAATAATTGCACTCAAAAATATAACAATTTCAATTTAGTTTCAATTTAAAACCCGAGAGCCTACAGTCCACTCAGTGCTACTTCTTTTTCAGCCAATCACTCAGACAAACAAGTTTGTTTACATTTGCAGGAGATAATGCTGTTTGCTTCTTGTTTAAAATGTTACCTGAAAGTGAGAACAGGCATTGGCATGGCACTGTTGTGGCTGGCATTGCAAAATATTTACAGGCCAGATGCGCTAAAGATTCATATGTCCCTTCATCTTCAACCACCATTCCAGAGGACATGCAATCATGCTGATGACGGGTTCTGCTCGAAACGATTCAAAGGAGTGCGGACCAATGCATGTTCGCTTTCATCATCTGAATAAGATGCCACCAGCAGGTTGATTTTCTTTTTTGGTGGTTCGGGTCCTGTAGTTTCTGCATCTGAGTGTTGCTCTTTTAACACTTCTAAATGCATGCTCCACACCTTGTCCCTCTGAGATTTTGGAGGGCACTTCAGATTCTTAAACATTGGGTTGAGTGCTGTAGTTATCTTTAGAAATCTCACATTAATACCTTCTTTGCGTTTTGTCAAATCTACAGTGAAAGCGTTCTTAAAACTAACAACATGTGCTGGGTCATCATCCGAGACTGCTATAACATGAAATGTATGGCAGAATGCGGGTAAAACAGAGCAGGAGACATACAATTCTCCCCCAAGGTGGTCAGTCACAAATTTAATTAATGCATTTTTTTTTTTTTTTTTTTTTTTAAAACGAGCATCATCAGTATGTCCTCTGGAATGTTGGCCGAAGCATGAAGAGGCACATGAATCTTTAGCACATCTGGCACTTGCAACGCCAGCTACAAAAGTGACATGCAAATGCCTGTTCTCACTTTCAGCTGACATTGTAAAGAATCGGGCACCATTATCTCCCGTAAATGTAAACAAACTTGTTTGTCTTAGTGCTTGGCTTGTAGGCTCTAAAGTTTTACATTGTTTTTGAGTGAAGTTATGTAATCCAAAAAAAAAAAAAAAAATCTACATTTGTAAGTTGCACTTCCATGATAAAGAGATTGCTCTACAGTATATATTAGATTAACTGAAAATTACTAGAATTTAGCAGTTACATGGCCCAATGCGGGTGGTGGGCTCCTTTTGCGCTGGTCTGGGCGTGGGGGAGCGGCCCCTTTCTGGTCTCCTCCTCTTATGGGGCACTGGGGACTGAGAATGGTGCCACCCACTACCCTATGTGGGACACCTATGTGGGGAACCCTGCTGGTGCCAAGGGTCTCTGGCAAAGTCCTTCCTCAGTGCTGACTCATGCCTCATCGGTGCTGGCACACTGCACACCAGCGCTGAGGTGCTCTATTGGCTCCGCCGAGCCAGGGTCTGAGCGAGGACGTAGAGCAGCCTCCATCAGAAGGATCTTGAGGTGCTGATCCATCTCCTTCTGAGTCCTCGGATAAAATCCCCTGCAGATCTTGCAGCATTCTTTCTGGTGACTGTCCCCCAAACACTTCAAGCAGGAAGCATGGGGGTCACTTCTTGGCATAGACTCGCCACACGCTGCACTGGGTTTAAACCCCAGGGATCGAGGCATGCGGGGGCAATAAAGGGAGAGGGTGTGACGTTATCTAATTAAAATATGATCATGCAAACTATTGTTGCTACAACTGTTATATAATTGCAACAAATTTTATATAAAGTGTGACACATTGCCAGAAAGGGTTAAGCAGCTTGCAGGTTGATTGACTCTGGGTCAACAATTAAGGACACGTTAGAAAAAAGTGTGTGAATGGTAATTAAGGCCATTCTATGGTAGATAGGGTAGAACTTTGAAATGCAAACCTATATTGTTAGAAATTAGAGGTAATGCTAATTGTATGCGTGTACTCATATCCTGTTTAATGCTAGCCATGTAAACAGACAGTTCCTGTCTGTCACTATAGCTATTGATTCAGAGATCGAAAGGGAATACTAACATTTAGCAAAAAGAACAGGAGTACTTGTGGCACCTTAGAGACTAACAAATTTATTAGAGCATAAGCTTTCGTGGGCTACAACCCACTTCTTCGGATGCATGGTGAGAGGGGGACGCCTCAGGCGAGTGGCTGGGGTTTCCCGTTTTCTCTCTGGGAACTATGGTCACCCTGCAGCTCCCAGCTGCCATGGGCAGAGGGGGGGGCACAATAATTTTTCAGTTGGCTTTTTTTAAAGCCTGGGAAATCACACACCATAAACTACAGTAGTGCTAAGGTTGCAAAGTCAAGCACTCAGAAGTTAGGAAATGCCAGTATTGAGCTTGCCTGCGTAACCTTAATATGACCCTCTTCTGCATACACATTATGATGTAGTTTTTAATTAATGTAGCCCACGAAAGCTTATGCTCTAATAAATTTGTTAGTCTCTAAGGTGCCACAAGTACTCCTGTTCTTTTTGCGGATACAGACTAACACGGCTGCTACTCTGAAACCTGTCATTAACATTTAGATGAATCTCGGCTGCAATAATGTCATTGTCTGTGTGTCTCTTTAAAGTTTGTGATAAGATAATGTATCCATTAAGTAGTTTATGTTAATCCATGTAGTTAATTACCGGTGAGGTTTAGGAAACAGAAGGTTACATTAGAAGCCTATTGTTCACCCAGAACTGTATGGTCAAGTGGCTACTAGAAAACTGTATATAAAAGACCCTTGGGTCCTGATCCTATCATCTCAGATCTGCTTGATGCTTCAATGCAGGGGAAGCTTAAGCCACAAGATTGAGATCCCAGCTCTGACTGGACCACCCTGAATATAATTTGGACTATAACCTATGGACCAATTCTGAAAGAACTCTTTGCAACTACAAAGCTCACCATCTCTGCTATGAATCTGAACCTCAAGAATTATACTCATGTCTGTATGTATACTGATCTTTTAACCAACACACTCTCTTCTCTTTTTTAATAAATTTTAGTTTAGTTAATAAGAATTGGCTGTAAGCGTGTATTTGGGTAATATCTGAAGTATTCATTAACCTGGGGGGTAATGTGTCTGATTCTTTGGGATCGGTAGAACTTTTTTATACGATGAATAAGTTTTTCAGTAATCCTCATCATATTTGACTTGGGCATCTGGGTGGAGGCCTGAGGCTGGGCTACTTTAAGGGAACGATGTTGTTGGCTTCTGGGTAACGAGTGAGGTATTATAGAAGCTGTTTTGTGCTGGCTTGGTAAATCTAAATATTGGAATATCCACCAGCTTTGGGGATTGTCTGCCCATTCTTTGCAGTTCACCCTAATTGAGTGACCTAAGTTGGCTCCCCTGGGACTCCGGTCACAGGGGATTACCTGCTAACTGAAACTTATCTAACACTAATCTAACTATTTACAGGACAAAAGTTCAAACTACTAGAGAAGTTGCACTTGCAAAGCAAGAGCTAACGAGTGTTCCAGCTAACCATCACAGATGGTAAGAAGGAACTGAAGTGGCGACAGGTCAGTAGGGCCCTATATTCAGCGCCATGAAGGCACGACCTCAGGGAGCGCCCAGACCGACCCAATGGGTACTGCTAGGGGAAAAGCCTTCCGGCTGCCGCACAAGCACACCTAATTGGAATGGACATGAGCAATCACTTGAAGAAGAACTAGAATTTCAATAGATGTTAGTGGGTTTTCTGAAGTGGTCAACATTGGCCTAACTCTGCTCCCACTGAAAACCACCCTTGAGGTTTTTGACAGTGGTTAAGCTCAATTTTATTTCCATATTTCATCTGGTTACTTTTTCATTAAAAATATTCATTTCTACTGAATGCAGAAGAAAAGCCTGCAGTTAAGTAATAATAGAAAAACAAAGTGAACCTGGTACCTGAGTTGTCTGGATAATAGTCAAGTCATTCATGTGAGAAATTCCTGCCCCCATGGCTGCTCTGAGTCCTGCTGTCCCAAACTCCATCCGTGAACTAAAACATTTTTGTAGTTCTCCTGCATTTTTTTCAGCAACCAGTTGCTTCACTATTTCTGAGGTTTTAGTATTCTGTAGAAAGATAAAATTACAATATATTGCTATTCTGAAAAAGCTTGTTATAACTTTAGTCTCAAACTGTGACATTCCTTACCATTTCTTCTACTGAACTGATTCTCAGACTAGACTTGGTATAGCACATCTAAAACTCCAAAGTATTGGTCATAACACCTTCATAATTTTAATCAGTGTTATTAAAATGGATTGTTATTCTAATACTATACCCATAATGCGCATACCAATTGCAGTTTGCATACCAGTTTGAGAACCCGACGCTGAAATCTTAGCTACTTTTGAAAGTCTGCCAGATACAAGAATATTAGAATATAAGATGAGAGAATTTCTGTTATGCGAATAAAGGAATTTGAAAGAGAAAGCATACTGAAAGGCTATTTAGGGAGATTAATAATTCTGAAATATTACTTGTATAGTATTACAAAAGTGCATGAAGCCAGGGGAGGGGAGGGCAGCATCTCTGCCCCACAAGTTTAAAGTCTTCCTAATACAATAACTACAGGAGGAGGAAATAAGTGAAGGGATGAAAAGGGAGGGAAGATCAGGGCAAATATATTCCAAACAAGCAATCATTGGAGAGAATATATTCATCCATCCTGACGGTTACACTTTTTAAAGATTAATAATAAGCTACTTTAATCCTCCTTGAATAAGTGAGTTTTGAAGAGGGAATTGGAAGAAAGGGTCTCATCACCAATTCTAGAATACAACCTTACTCTATTCATAATGTGGTGGGGGCTTTGGAGTTTTTTTTATTTTGTTTTTTAGTTCATTATGTGCACCACTTTGGAGGCATTTTCCCCTTTTCTTGGAATGTTACGTGCGAAACAATTATAATATCTCATTCTATGAAGTGCACAAGAGCTTCACCATATTAAAACACCCTTACATTTGCAATCTCCATATTAAAAAGAGTATTGGGTTCAAATTTCTACAATAGTTGTATTTCCCTGAGCTCTGATGAGCCAGACAGAACATTAAGACAAGTGATGGTCCAGTGGTTAAGGTGCTAGCCTAGGACCTGTGAGACCTGACCTTGAGTACTTGCTCTGCCACAGACTTCCTGTGTGACCTGGGCAAGTCACTTACCGCTCTCTGACTCAATTCCTTGTCTGCAAAATGGGATGAATACTTCTTCTCTACCTCACAGGGTGTTGTAAGGATAAATACATTAATGATTGTGAGGCATTGTGACGCTCTGTACCTTGGGGGAACACCCAGCACCCCCATGTGCATCCTTGTAAAATGATTGTGTGGTATCCAATGCAAAGTTTGTCATGTCGGGTGTCTTCAGAAGGCTCATGATGCACTGAGCATTATTGTTACAGTAATGTTATAGGTTATAATTTCATGCATGTAGTTATGAGGCTGAAAATGTATCCTCATGGCTTAAAACAGGGGTCTCAAACACACGGCCCGTGGGGTTCTTTCATGCGGCCCGCCAAGCTCACCGTCCCCCCCCCCCCGCCTACCCCGTGTCGCCGCAAGCCCCGCGCCGCTCCCCGAAGCGGCTGAACTACTGTATGTCCCTGCAGCCCCGGGCAGGGGTGTGGGAGGCGAATAGAGGGCTCCGTGCTCTTGCAGCTCCCGTTGGCCGGGAACTGGGAACCGCGGCCAATGGAAGCTTTGGGGGAGGTACCTGGAGGAGCAGCAAGAGCAGCACATGGTGCTGTTTCCCCTCCCGCCCCCAGGGACTCCGGCTGCTTCCTGGAGCAGAGCAGAGCGGGGCCGGGGACAGGGCAGGCAGGCATGGAGGCAGGCTGCCACCCCGGATCCGCTCTAGGTAAGCGGCGCTGGGCCTGAGCCCGTACCCCGCACCCCTTCTGCACCCCAACCCCCTGCCGCATCCCACACCTCTCCTGCACCCTAACTCCCTGCCCTGAGCCCCCTGCCACACCCTGCACCCCTCGCCCCTCCTGCACCCCAACCCCCTGCCTGGAGCACCCTGCCACACACTGCACCCCAATCCCCTGCTGCACCCCTCACCCCTCCGGCACCCAGGGCCGGCTCCAGGGTTTTTGCCGCCCCAACCAGCAAAAAGAGCGGGGGGTGGGGGGGGGAGCCGCAATCACGATCTGCGACACTTCGTCTCTACCATCGCTGCTTCAGTCTTCGGCGGCAATTTGGTGGCTGGACCTTTGCTCCAAGAGGGAGTGAGGGACCCACCGCCAAATTGCTGCTGAAGAGCCGGACGTACCGCCCCTCTCCATTGGCCGCCCCAAGCACCTGCTTGCTGCGCTTGTGCCGGCCCTGCCCGCACCCCAACTCCCTGCCCTGAGCCCCCTGCTGCACCCTGCACACCTCCTGCACTCCCTGCCCTGAGCCCCCGCTGCACCCCTCATCCCTCCTGCACCCCACATCCCAATTCCTTGCCGTACCCTGCACACCTCCTGCACCTCAACTCCCTGCCCTGAGCCCCCACCACACCCCTCCTGCACCTCCTGGGGGCAGGGAGGGGGCAGAGTTGGGGTGAGGACTTAGGGGAAGGGGCTGGAATGGGGGCGGGGCAGAGGCAGGGCCTCATGGAAGGGGTGGAGTGGGGGCGGGGCCAGGGGCAGCAAGTGGGGAGTGTCAGTGATGCTGCCCTCGGGCCAATGAACTAGTCCTCATGCGGCCCTCGGGGTCATCTGAGTTTGAGACCTCTGGCTTAAAATAAGCCCAGGCAAAATCTCTCCAAGAGCAGAGAGGCAGTTCACACCTCATCACGGCAGGTATGGGGCAAACCCAGCTCAGCCTCACAGGAACAACAGAATTTGTTAGACTGTTAGGGAGTCACCCCCCTTCCTTTGGTCAGTTTGGAACTGCGATGAGGTAATGCTCACCTGACTCTGAAGGGGGGGGGAGGAAGGGGCTCAAAGCCAAGAGGGAAGAAAGGACATGATAAAAGGGAGAGACATTTGCCATGCTCGCTCTCTTGCACCTACATTTACAGACACACACCAAGCGACTGAAGAGCAACCAGCCAGCCTGTGGTGAGAAGCATCTAAGTTTGTAAGGGCACTGAAAGTGTTAAGATCAGCTTAGAATGCGTTTTGCTTTTACTTCATTGGACCAAATCTGACTTGTTATGCTTTGACTTATAATCACTTAAAATCAATCTTTATAGTTAATAAATTTGTTTGTTTATTCTACCTGAAGCTGTGTGTTTGAAGTGTGTCAGAGGCTCCTCTTGGGATAACAAGCCTGGTACATATCAATTTCTTTGTTAAATTGACGAACTCATATAAGCTTGTAGTGTCCAGCGGGCATAACTGGACACTGCAAGACGGAGGTTCCTAGGGTCGTGTCTGGGACCAGAGATATTGGCCAGTGTCATTCGCTTGTGAGTAGCTGGGAACACCTTACATGCCAGAGGCTGTGCATGAACAGCCCAGGACTGGGGGTTCTCACAGCAGAGCAGGGTAAGGCTGGCTCCCAGGGTCAAGAATTGGAGTGACCTAGCAGATCACCGGTCCAGATAACACCAGAGGTGAACGTCACAGGCATTCAGATCCTACAGTGATGGGTGCCAATAGAGTACCTTAGCTAGATTGGGCAACAATGCTATGTGATATGTGGTGTCTTGTGCAATGAATTATCCTTCCCATGACTGCACACATTGTCTACTGAAGTGCAACAAAAGTTAGATTTTAAAATAGTTACATCCTATAGAGGATCCTACAGAGGATTGCTGAGTGCAAAGCTCACCACAAAGTTGTAAAGTGTAGAAACAGCTACAGGATTTTTTAAAAATATAAACAAACAAGCTCTCCCCACAAAGTAACATAATTACATATTAAAAAATACTTTATTTCACAATAGGAAAATAAAGACAGAAAATGCACTTTGTGTATATCATGTATTGAAAAAGTATCCTAAGGGCCTATCTGCAAACTGTGACTCATGGGAGTAATTCCATCAAAATCAATACAACCATTTTCATGCATAACAGTTCACAAGATCAGGACCTTATTTTGTTATAACTGGGATAGTGATATGCAGTTTATCAGTGATCAGAAGTGAACTTTACTTTTGATTTTGTAACTTTCGATTGGGATTAAAGCAAGCCCCTTGGAATCCAAGTACCTGAGTGGTGTTTTCTTGGATCACAGTACGCGTACGAGGGTTATAGCGATTCAAATTGGGTTTGCTCAATAACAAATATTCTTGGAGCTCATTGTGTGAAAAACAGTTGCAGACTGGCTCATCCCCCTTTCTCAATCATCGCAGTGACCAAACAGCATGTTAATCAAGAACATCTGCAACTTCAAAGAAGATAGCAGTTGATAAAAATTAATGTATTAAAATGTTTAAGTACATTTTTCTATTTGAAAAACTACTTAAAATTAAATTTGAAATTATGACAGACCTCATAAAAGTCACTGGCTAAGCAAGCAGAATGAGAGTTTGCTGAAGTGCTAAACCAGCTTTTGACAGCAGTAGCTTCTTGTGCAGGTGCAGAGAGAATACCTACTTTCTTGATCACTGTGGACACCACTACCATCCAGCTTGTCACTCAGGCCCACAGCCTATGCGTTATCTTCACTTCAGATCTTTCGAGGTCCTCACATCTCTGCTATATCTTGCCAATATTTTCTGTATAACCTTTCAAAGATATGACCTTTCCTATCCATTCATGTAGCTAAAACCCTCATCCAAGCTCCTATCATCTTGCATCTCAATTAATACAACATCCTTCTCTCTGACCTTGACAAATGTAATCTTGCCCCACTTGTATCCTCTCAGAATGCTTCTGCAAACATCACTTTCCATGCCCGTTGCTTTGACCATGTCACCCCTCTGTTTGCATCCCTCCACTGGCTCCCTCTTCATTATCACATCCAACATAAGGTATTGATACCAATCAGCTCCGTGTTCTTGGGGAAAGAGGACGCAGTATCCAGCCTGTCTGACTCATGAAGGACACCCCCCTGCCTCCCAGCCTCTGCTTGAGCCAAAACCGATCAGAAGAAAGACTTACAGAAAGCAATGAAAAGGCGGTGGGAGACACACCTAAA